TTGCATTTCGCAATTTAGTTAGAAAATATGTAAAATTAACAGTTACCGAAAACCTGAAGTCGAATAACTTCGTAGTTTAACTCTTGAAGAACAAAACTTTTTAGCTTCAAGCCCCTTTTAAGCTAAAATTAAATCTATGTTTCAAAGCCAAAAACTTTTTTTCAAATAGTTCGTACTATGTTAACACAAACACAAACAACTCGTATGTTTAAAAAACAATAATTTTATTATAAACCTTTGTATCTATAAATATAAAACACATGAAAACTTAATAACAATTTCCCAAAAAACATCATCAGCGTATAAATTATTACTTTGTTTTAAAAATGTTAATAGAGACACAGAATAAAGCATGTGTAATTCATAACCTCGTTCGGAGCGTAGCACGAAAATGAAATAATTCACATGTCCCATTTGCACGCTTAGCGGAGAACGAGCCTGTTTAAAGCGCTGTTCGTTACCTGAAAAACGTGAAAAAGAGCACTCCACAAAAATATTTACCGAAGCATTAAATTTAATATTCGACTAAAGCTTTAAGTAAAGCTTTAGCCTCGATTCCTTTAATTAATTTCAACAAACAGCTGGCACGTAATAAAAATGTTATAAGTTCCCTGGACCGTGTTTATAAAGCCATTGGTAGAAATAAACGTATTGCGTGAATTAAAACAAAATATCGTAGCTGCCTGTCACAAATGGTAAATTAAGTTTTACTTTTACTCATTTAACCAAGTTATAAAAGCTTTGGTTGGTCTTAATAAGGTACATTAGTTGTTTAATCAATTGGTCAAGTAGAAAAAGTTGCACGAATGATTTTTCATTTGTTTCGTAGGTACTTGATATCTCTCACAAATCAATCCTCTCATGACTTATAAAGAAACACGATTTACGGAGTTACTTGATCATGGTTTCTGTTGTAAGGTTGACATCCATATTAAAATTCTAGCAAATAGGCGAAGGCAAATTTTTCATCCCTTTTGACGGACAGATAATGAAGGAAGCAAAATGCTTCGTCCTCATTTGCGAGACATCGACTACAAAAGGCGGACGTCCCGCTGTGTGACGTCACAAAAATGGGGTTAAGAAAATCTGTTACTTCATAATTATGTAATACTTCCGAAGAAAATATGAAATTGCTTTTAAAATAAGCTTAAGTGCGGATTTATTTCTCACGATACAAATTAGTGTTAAGTGTTACTAAATTATTTTTTACTTCATTATTATATTCATTTAGAAACTGAATACTTAATTACGAGTATATGGCTTGAGAAAAGCTGTAAATAATCTATATGTATACTATTATAATAAAGCGTAAACACACACTTCCTTGTTGCCTAAGATGTCAGCAATTACAGCACATTTTTTAATAATTACTTTTTTAATAAAAAGCCCTACACTTATATACGTCATGCTTTAGGCTATATATTTTTACACCATAAACCTAAGGGGGTAAATGTTTTAGATAAAAACCCTAATGTGGGAAAGAGACCATAAGTTGCTGCCAAAATCAAGAAAGAAAGATTGCCAATGTTTGTCATGTCATGTCAGATTGACATTTGCTTTTGATAATTTGACAAATGTAAACAATAAAATAAAATTTTCATAATTTCATGCGGATGAAGCCGCACGGGAACAGCTAGTTAATGATAAAGTTATGTTAACAAAGCCTAAAATAATTTGAACATAATTTTAATATACGGTAGAGCATAGATAATACGAGTATGTAAACGGTAAGTCCAGACAGGAGCAAGCAAGAATGAAATTAGCTAAGTTATTTATCCAAGACAGGGGGCGGCTGTGAGGCTGAGATACACCGTGCATATAAATAGAGCTTCAGCGTTTACAAACGACAATATACACTTTGTCTTCATTGAATTATGCT